TATTGTGAACCCAACACAGTAACAGAGGCAATAGCGTTTGTTTTCAGTGAATTCTTGAATTGTATAAAACAGTTTAAAGGGAATTATTAGAATGAAAACTGCCAAGGATATTTTTTTTTATTCATGCGCGGATTATATCTTCAGTTTACAAATATTATTTTAAGCGAAACGATAAAATCAATTAATGGAAATGATAAACGAAAATTATCAGCATAAAAATATTCAAAATGATAAATATAAAATAATAGATATTTACTTTAAATATATATATATCTCAAGACATCCGTCATGATGAAGATACTTTCTACATATCTAGACAATATACGGACCCAAACACACCCACATACAGACGCTGACCATCTTCTGGTTGACAGTAAACTATTTCATCAGAATTACTGCCTCTTTCTGACGTCTCCCGTTGGAACAACAGTAAGATTACGGATTTACAACGCTAAAATCAGGGGTTTGCTTCTCTTCGGTGGACACAGTAGATGGCCCGATGTGGCTTTGCTTTGAAAAACATACACACTCTTTCCGACTGCATAAATCCTTTAAAGTGAAAGCGTTTGATAATGTGTCCGAACACAGCTGACTATTGTCTTTTTATGTGTAAATATTTCTTACATCGATTCGTGCATAGAAAGTTTACATAGAGGTTGAGTACGTTATACCGAAATGATTTTGAAACCTCACCCCTTCGTTACAGTCCGTGTCGTCACGTCCGTGCATCTTGACAAAAGGACTACAGAGAAATTTCCATTTTAAAAGGCTCCGTCGTAAAGATGTCATGTGTAAAAGCACAAAAGTACCCTTTTCCTGATTTCCATAATCAATCTAGCGTACGTGGATGGTGGTATAAATAGTCCGATCTCACACAAATCCGTAGGTGCTGCGTGTGTCATCGTATGGAATAGCATGAATACCCATTTTATTCTCTATCAGCTTGAGGAATACGACGGTTAAGCGTATATTTCGAGGAAGCAACTTGTATACATATGAACTGTGTTGCTTTTCCAAACGGAGATTCCTCTTGATTATGTTGCGTATTGTTGCATGGGCACGTGTATGGCTTTTGATACAGATCGTTGTGTTTGTGAATTCTCACAAATTTTACTTAACATAACTGGGGTGCAGCTTGTCGCAGGTCTCTTTGTGGATGGTCCTGGTGACCCAAGTTGATCCATTTTCCTTTGTTTTCCAATGTCATTAAGTACAAGGGATATCTTCATCTTAAACATCTTAAATCTCTGATCTGAACACATCTCTGTGATGTGAGTGTAAGAATATTTTGCATCTGAAGGGGTTGTTACATACCTTTCCCAAAAGCAATCAATTGTCTGTGGTAGTCGGTGGTATCACACTACTTACCAACGCCAAAAAATGTTAAAACATAGTTCTGATACAGTCATTACCTCCTACTGCGACTTTATATCGTTGTGATTGTCACGTGTCTTGCTAATCTTCATTTTCAAATTGTATTGATAGAGCATACGCAGCCTCTGTGTATATTTTTGAAAATAAAGCACGTAGGACGACTTAGATTTCAATACAGTTGGAATTCGAAAAGTATAGCGCATTTTAGCTTCAAATATTTTACAATCGTACAGTATGCTTTCAAGTTATAATTAAAAACTGTGATATAAGTGATCAATTTACAGGATGAAGAAACTGGAATATAAAATAGGAATTATTCTACGTGTATCTAAAATCTACAAAGACGTTCCGGAACGTTTCAGTATCTGACCACTTTGTTTCCTGATGAGTTAGCGGTAAGTATAGGGACTGACAACGTTAACAGGAGCTTGCGCAAGAATTTAAATTTGATCGCTTGGGGGTTAGCGCGTTAAACACATACATATGCTAACATACTAATACACACGCCTACGTATTATGCATAGAAATAAACAGCATTACACTCAGCGCAGATAACTCATTGTGTAGCTTTGCGTTAAAACAACGACAACTGATCTCTTTTGCAATACATGTTATACAATTCTATAATAGTATTGATATGCGCAAGAATTTCCCGAAGATGTTGTTAAGAAAGTAAAAATTATAGACAATATTATGCATATTACACACTTGTAATCCTACTAACTTTTAAGGAAAGCTACCACTATCTTTTACAATAATCTTGTTACTTGTTTGTTGTTAAGCGCAAAGCTACACAATAACTGTATTCTCCTCACTGCGGGTATGGAAACCCGGTTTTTGGTATTAGAAGACCTCAGACTTACTTCAGTTACCGGGGGGTGTGGGGCTACAATAATTGTATTGTTTTTGGCCACCCCCTTAAACCACGTTAATTTTATTCAACTCTTTCAATGTTTAATTACTTCTAATAACTAAACAAAGTATAAGATACAACTGAATATTATAAAATTTTCAATTAAATTAAGTTCGTAATTTAACAAATGTAACTTTTAAGGGTAACAATTGTGTTAAAAATCATAATACGACTTATAATAATTTTAATCACACTGTTCGTTAATGAACCGCTAAAGCCTTTTTTTTAATGAATAATAGTATTTAATTATGCATTATTTGTTGCACACGACTACCCCAGAGCCTTTTATTTAACACCAAAGCTCATCGCCCCAGGATTACAATACCAGATTAGGTGCTACGTAGCACACTAAAACTTTGAGTTGTGGTTCAGCTGGTCTATCTTCAAAATCTGTTTATATATATATAACTTACTTTTGATATTTCTGTATAGACTGAACAGCATACCTGATGAAATATGAGGTGGAAACATAGAACATAATCAAAATATTATTTGTTCTTTTGTACTTTTAATACAAAGACAAAATGTGTGAAATATCGTTTTATTAATGAATATTTTGACATTATATATATATATATATATATAAATTTGGAAAAATACGCCGATTTTTTAATCCACTTTCAGTTCAGAAGTTTCAAGCATAATGCTAAAGCAACACCTTGCGGCGAAGCTCGGGATAACTTGTATTTTGCTTAGCTAGCAGATCTGTGGAGAGTTCTGCAAACATCGCAAGTCTTTTCGTGCGAATTTTGTTTTTTCTTTAGCTATGTGTTATAGATATTCAAGTTTTGGTTTCGGTACGATAACGACAGATATAAAGGTTTCTACAATAATAAGAACAACGTTTTTTTTTACAGCCGTCGAACAATAACATAGTGTATATTTTCAATGCACTAGAGGAAACACAATTTTAAATTTTGGTAGCAGATAAACATCCTATATTACATTCAGAATACGGTAGCA